AAAAAAACCTTCTTTTTTTTTCACGTAAAAAATAAGCTGTTGCCCAGTCGCGTCTTTTAAAAATCGCTTAAGCTAAGACCGTCGTTAAAACCGGTTTTTTTTATTTCATCTCTCGCCTTCACGTAATATAATTATTATTACTCGTCTAGTTTCATGTACCATATTGATTCGGTAACCTGTATGATAGCATTATTATACGTTATTCGAATTATTCGGCGCACACAAAGAGACGGCAAAACGGACTGGACTATATTATTATATTGTTATTATCATTGTAGAAAAAGTGCGCGCCATCCGCGTGTAATAATTTATTGCCGGGCCTAATTACGGCAATGACTGTGTCTTTTCTCTATTAAACAATTAACACAAAAACAATTTTCCATTCGATCCTGTTGCCCGTACGAACTATAAACGGCAATTAGGACCGTTTATACTTTATATCAATGTGGTCCGAACACAAGTTTCACGGTATATATGTATTAATATTTTTGAAATCGTCTTTTTTCGTATATGTGGCGTATCATTATAAAATAATTAAAAAAATGTTGATCCCGGACGCTCTCTACAGCTCTCTCCTCTTTTCTGTCCGAAATGAAAAACTCGTTACAACTGACGGCAGGGGTTTAAAAGCACAGTGATAATATGAATATAATAATTTCACATGTGTTTGTAAGAGAAAAGAAAAATGTGTTAAGTTTTTTTCTCCGAGCCTAGAGTGGTTTTCAATGTGGTTCACTTGGATTTTAAAACAAAACTTTACGCCGAAACGTTTGTGTGATCTCTGCGAATTCGCACCACTAGTTTGCCAATAATTTAATCTCCAACCGGCGACCGTTGTGCGTGTTGTCGAACTTGATTAGAAACACATTTCCGGAACTTCGTCTCGACGTCGGGAAATCGCATTCAATGCGTCCCACAAGCGGTTTCCGATTTCCGCAACACGTCGACCTGTCACCTTGCCGGCAAAGCCGTTATTAAATTTCTCGCACACAACGCACATATAAACGCTGATCGACCGACATCGTATTTGTTTACACCCCACGACGACACGTTGTTGTACGTCCTCTTCAATGCCACCTGATAGGTTTAACCAATCTGTTACGGCGGTTTCATTTGGCGGAGGAGAAGGCTTTTTGGTGGTCTCCCGCGATTTAATCTATGGTCTTCGTACGACGCGACGGCGACCTCTCGTTGGTCACACGTGCCAAAATAATTTTCCCAGTATGTTTCTTGATCCACACGAGAAAAGTAGATGGCTCTTAAATTATTAATGTCGAAAAGTACCTTTGGTATACTATTTATAATTTGCGTAGAAATCATGACCTAGTGCAGGTTGTAGATCTGGTCGAGTCCGATATAAAACCGCGTTTGGACACTTTTTTACACCCTCGAATTTTAAATACCCGAAATAAATGTTCCCAAGAATGATAGCTCATTAAATTTTGTTTTATGTTGCACCGTCTTATCGTTACGGTGTACTCAAACATATTATTATACAACGTTAGTTTGGCGCTGAAGCGAAAACCGTTTGAAAATAATATTGTATCGTTAACGGAAGCTGTTACCCGTGTGTAAGCACAGATTGCATGTAAATATATTATACCAAAGGCGCATAGTAATTTGGAGGAGAGTAAACTTTCGTTGATTTACCGCGATCTCACGCTGACTAATGATACAATCAACTACACTCCGCTACCCATGCCGTTGTTCTCGCCGTAGATTGTAAAACATAACCACTGCATACATCACACGGAAATGAATGGGCGAGATCACCACCTTGTATGTAACGCCGTGGTGGATGATGTGTACCTAAATTTATATTATTATAATAAAACACACACACACAAACGATGTATCATATTTATGTTATAAATTATTTCGAGCTCGCGCTGTATAAATTTTACTTGTCGCCCAAGTAAATTGTTATAATATTTCATAATAATTGAAAAATTGCGTTTAAAAAAATTAATGATGTGCGTCCTAACCGGTCCGTCGTCAATTTTGTTCGAACGAGCCAATTAAATATACATCCTACACGGTAAAAACGACAAGGAAAATAAATTCGAACGGCCACAATGACTGTTGGTACGACCTATGCAAACGGAACCAACCGAATTTCACATGGTATCTGAAATGAAACCAAGCTAACCTAAACCATTATGTCGCTTAGGTTTTTTTATCGTATATAACAACTCGTTCGTCTTTGGGGGCTAAACATTTTAACATGTTAGTGGGTTCAGACACATGGTAAACGTACACTCAAACACAATAATAATATTATAACAATTATAATTCTGGCAAGTAGGTGCACGTTGTTTTTTACTGATGCAATTATTTGCCTCGATGACCAACATAACAGGGACGGTCAAGGTTGTTTGACCAAACGAGCGGTTTACCATAATTCAAGGCCGTAAATCACGTAGACACACGCACATTCTGCCTTTTTGAATAGTAATTACAGACATTTCTTAGTCGACATTACCATGGTAAAAAGCGCATGCGCTTATGCGGTTTTTGTATTCAATGGAAATAATTTAATTGCTACGTCGTTTCGAGCTACTTTAAAGCTTTTTTAAAAAATATTTTGCCACCCAATACTTTAAATACATTCATGTTCTATGTCGTGGTAAAAAAAATAAAAACTCAATAACTAATAAATACAAAATAAATAAAAAATTGTTGTACACAATGTTTTGCCGAGACTGTGGTCAAACTGTATCTAATTTTTATCGCTTATTATTATCCAGTTGTTATTATGATAGTTTTTTTCAACTTCATTAATAAACTCGCTGTCAGTAATCATTTTACACGCTGTTCGTTATTTATTGTACTGTGCGTTGACGTTTAATAATGAATTAGTTTTAAATGTTGATGAACTGTATTTTTAACAAAATGTATACATTCACTTTTGTAAGATTACCTACCAGTTGATTTTGACCTTAGTATTATACATATATATATATATATTAGTCTTATAACAGTAGGTATTAACGTCCTTAAATGTTGCACGACTATGCAATTTTCTAACCAAGTAATTATTTTTGAAAGATTGCCATTTAAAAAAAATCGTTGTTTATCAATAGTTCTTTTTACGGTAGGTATTGACATTCTTACGTCGTCGTTGAAATTATAATAATAGGTTTGTGTTAAGAATAACATTTTTGTACTAGAATTTACTCCGGCGTAAAAAAATTTGGGCACGCGTCGCCCAATGACAACAGCCGCATTGGCTTCTTTTGCCTTGAACTCCGAGTCAAACGGCGGTTTTCATTTTACTTTCTACGAAGATCAAGAATGACACAATCAATTGCCTCGGTTGTCTTTATAATAATATATTATGATGACCGAGACATTGGGGTCGCCGCGTTTAATGATCCATGTGTCGTGTTTGACTTGAAAATTTGTCATCTCACCGTTTAATTATTAATATTGTCGTCAACCGTTTTTGGCATTTGGAAATGTTAGAAAAAATTTCTAATTGGACTATTTAACGATTGACCCGAATTAGTATGAACTGCGACCATGTACTCGATTAATAAGTGTTTTTCGTTAACTTTGTCATTCCGCGTTATGGTTATTTTGATCATAGAAATGTTTGACCAACACTATAACCTAACCTAATGACGGATGTTTGATATAATGATATATATTTATACAATACATGTATTATATAATATTATGTGTGTGTGGATGAGTTTTATTTTTCTAAATAAATATAGACAAACGGGTTTTGCAATTTAATAATACTACTACTTTATCGGGATTGAGCAGCTCAGGCTGAATAATTATGTCCGGCGGATACGGATCTTTGCATTGCTCTATGGTTAAGACGGTCATTTGCATAGAGTTCGTTATGGCCTCCTGCTAGTGGTTTCAATAAACATTGTAACGTCGTTTATATGTATCGTGACGTGGACGGTGTGGGAATCGTTGGCGGCCATAGAGTGTTCTCGTCATTAGCGTGGCGTACGAAGAATATAATAATAATATTATTTTCTTCTCAATAGAACAGATACGCATCTTCGTTTGCCTGGCAGCACAACGTTGTTAAAGGCAGTAAGTCCGTACTGGTGTGTCTGTGCACAAAGTCTCCTCAATAGGCCGTTGTGTTTGAACACCGTGTATAATATAAGATACCGCAAGTGGAAACCGCAAATCTAGTTTAACATAATACATAATATGATATCGGTTATTTTTTTGTAGTTACTGTTACATGCCGAGACAACACTTCAAGTAATGCTGCTGCAGCTGGCAATCGCTACGAATGCACTATAAAATAAACAATATAATATATTATTAAAGATTATAGAAGACAGATATCCGCCAAACATCCTATAGCGTTTGAGTAGGTACATTATTCTACATTGTCCTACTCTCAAGAGTCGGTCAGTCTCTCCCGTATATTATAATGCCATTTTCGTACGCCAATGCTAAACACTAATAATCTCTAACCTGGCCTAACCTAATCGTGTGCTAACAACGATAAAATGTTAGTGTAACTATTGTGCAAAATAGATACAAATAGAAAAAGAAAAATTTGCGGAACATTTTTTTTTATCGTAAGAACACTAGGTTTGCTTTTTTTTATCTATCATTTGTGAACACACGACATGATTAGGTGTATATTATGTATTTTTACAATGTCACAACTGCCGATGTTTATCGTCAAACATCCGTAATTAATATTCAATTGACTATCTGACAGTAGACAGATAGATAGTAGAAAACACCGATTGTTTAGTAATAAAACTTTTAAATAGGTTCTACGTCGATCTATACAATGTTTATGCAAACGTCGGGTTGGGCTTTCGACGCCAGAAACCTTTTGAAAATAAAACAATAGGTATCATGACATTTTTTTGTCACGTCGAAAATGATATGTATATATATATATATATATATATATATATTTATTTTTTTTTACAAGCAGTAAAATCAAATTGTGCTTACACAATAGCACTGTAATTTAGTAACGTTAAAAATGTACGTTTTGTTTTCAGGAGTTGTTCTGGTTTGGACGGTATACCTGCACTAAGAATAATATAGGTCATGAGCATAGCACACAGGAGACAGTTCAACAATGGTGAGTACTTAATATTATAACGATTCTGTTTATTTATAGCGTTTATATATTATGCGCAATGCCTATAATTGATTTTTTTTTTACTCGTTGCTAGCCAATTTTTTTTTTTCATAATATTGTCGGCTTGCGTTGACTGTGAAAAGTGCTAAAAAACACACACGCACAAGCGTATACCACTCCCACGAACTCGATTTTATTGTCAGAGAGCAATGAATTGACGTCACCTGGGCGTGATAATTACGTTCTTCATGTGGTAGGTAATATTTTGTTCATGTACAATAAAAATTGTCACCGCAGTTATGACTACAATTATGGCGTAGGGGGTTTTACAGAAAATATGTCCACGTTGTATACACGTCATGCACCTGATGTATAACGTGCATAACATACTCCAGAATGTGTTTGAACCCTGTACAGTTTACTTCAAACAACAATAATATCATTCGAGCGCACCTATATCTTAAAAAAAATTACCAGTTTTGTCTGTGGTTTTAAAAATTATGACACTCGATTTGCCTCCGGTATCGGGTAGTGAAAGTCTTTAAGTTAAATTTTTAGTTACATAGTGCATTTAAATTGAACGCTCGTGAAACACTATCCGCCTCCATCGTTTGAATCCTCCACAATGATTATCGAATCGCCCCTATGAATAAACTTTTATTATTTTCATAAAATACAAACGGTGGCGTTGCGACGGTGGTCAGTGACAATTGTTAAATTATTTTATATTCGACAAATATGAGACTTACCAAGAGCGTACAACATGAGTTATACTTACATACAACGTGTACCTACACAATATAATGATTGAGGAGGTAAGGTAAAATTTTAGGATCGCACACCTCCACCGCGGTATTGGAAGAAAAAACAAACAATAAATCTGATGCTCGTGGATGGAAGCCATTTAAGAACGATAATAAACAGTAGGATTTCCGCTGGTTGTGTGCTTATATTATATATCTATATATATATATATATATATATATATGTGTGTGTGTGTGTGTAACCGACAGTTCCTGGCAAAAGTTGTGCACGTAAATGGGTGAAAAAGGAGTGCTGCGGTGGTAGCGGTGATCAATGCCCAATTGCGTGCCGACTACAATCGAATGTTGACCCTGTGCAAAAGTTTTTGAGCAATCGGAAAAGTTTTTACCGTGTGTAAGGTTTTAGGACGCTAAGCGATGGTGCATGCACCGCTTTTGATTTTAAACGTTTACTTCCGAAGTGTAATAAAATACAAGAAACCCGCAGAGAAATGGGGGGGGGGAGGGAGGCGTAAATTCCGTGATTGTTAAGGAACAATCTTGGTGTAGAACACGAATTCTTTTCAAAAAGTAACAAAATATGTTGTTCTCCAGGATGGAAGAACTATTTGGGTCGGAAAATAAAAATTATTATTAAAATTATTTACAACAGGTAATCTAAACCGTTAACTCCCCGTAGTAACTTATAAGTCTAAAATTTGATTGACTCTAACTGCGAGAGGAAATATATTGATAATTCAAATTTAAAGTTTTAAGCGCGACCAGACAGACAAAACAAGGTAACTTTATAGTGATTGCTTTTATCCTTACAAAACAAAGTTAAATATATGTACACATCATCTCTCATTTCAAATGCATTATCGTGAGCTGGGTGTAATATGGCATGTGCTAATTTTAAGACAATCAAGAATCGTACACACTATTTAAAAATGTTCAATCTAACATCACTAATTGTTTTTAATAATCGAAGTAAATGTACTGTCAATTTAGCCATGTAATTCCTTAAACTAGAGTTTTGAAGACAAAGAACCCTATAGGCTGTGAATATATAGAATGATTTAAGGGGTTGCAATATTTGCTCCTAATGAATGATTTATTTAGGTGATGAAAAAATAATTCTACAAATGGTTTAAATATCTGTACTTCCGTTAGATAGATTTTGAATAGTTTTCTATAAGGACACAAATCATTGTACACCTTTATAATATTATTCGACAATTGAAACAGAGTAATATACCAATAGCTTTGTTTTCTGAATATGGTATAATATAATTGCCATGTGGAAAATAAACTCGACCTATTTGGTACAATAGGAGAATCTCCTATTAGGACATACTATAACAATTATTAATTATTTTTCATTAACTCTGCTTGTTGAAATAGTGCTTGAACTCATTAAAATTAGATATTTTGCAATCCCCTCGAAATCTCACGCTTAATAACTCTGCTAGTCCAAATTATATTATTTCCAAAATGTTATTCTTTTATAAATAATAATAATGAATCACCAATAATAATGATTGGGTCCGCGTTCACATTAAATCTTTTGGGAATGGAAGACAATGACGATGATGAAAGATAGAATTTTGAAAAATAACTTCGGTCGCATACTGCTATATTCTCGGTTCTCTTATATTGTTATATCCGGCGGTTATTACATTATTGCTAACCGAAGCATTTCTTGCTCTCTCTTTCTCTCTTTTGGGACATATTATTATTATTATTATTATTATACGCTTTATATATGTAATACACACGCAGTATTGGGTGGACATTCGTTTCTTCATACTATATATGAATTCGTGTAAACGCAATATACGCTGGCCTGAGGGAAGTAAAAATAAAATAAGATCATGTGTTAAAGTACAATATGCATTACAGTAGATAGAAACGAGGGAGGAATAAGGCTATAATATAATAATAATTTTCGCAGTCTTGTAACCAAGCGATTTATGTACATAATTTTAATGTATTGCTGCGGCCCGCGTGATCTCTAGGATTCTATATCATAACAATAATAATAAAAACTAGTCTTATTTATCTTTTTGGTCTGATGCTGTAAATAACCGTATCTATCGACAAATGAAACATTACGGCGACGGCAAATTATATGGGCACACCCGGTCGACTCAGTGTGTGAATGTGTGCTTATCATGTGTGTGTGTGTGTGTGCGTTTGTATGAAGAACAATCCAATTGTAAGAAAATGGACGGGAAGTCAACCCTTGGGTGAACGCCAAAACCCTTTGGTGTTCATATATATATATATATATCGTTATGTTATCCTTTATACGCCGTAGACGTATTATAGGTACACGAACTGTTGTTATAGATCCAACTGATTTCTAATTATACATTTTTATGGACGATTACGTTCAGAACGAAAATACACATAACCGCAACACTCGGTATGTATCAGGGGATGGTGGTTATTGTAGTTTCATTGTGACGCAAACAGAAAGGTAAAAGTCAGTCTAATTAGAAAAGCTAAAAGTTTTTGTTCACAAAAAATGTATTTTCATTGTCATTAAAGGTTGACCACATTATTATTAGTTTAGCCATAATTATTGATTGTGTTAATATTATTGATTTTGCTGAGTCGTTATTTTATTTTATTCATATTATGATGCTTATTTCTTTTGGCTAATAATCGATAGCAATGTGAGCTTATAAAAACTTAGTAATATATATTTTTTTTTATATTGATTGTGTATTAATTTAATCCATTGCGATTGGCGGAATATCAGGAGTTGTATATAATATTATATGCCCGCGAAGAAGGGAATGACACTACTTCCGATATAGCGATCGTCCAATTACTAGAAAACCTCTCAGTCGCATAAATTGATATTTATTTCCCCCAATGTATTGTTGTTATTTTTGTAGGAAAACTGTCATTCGGCGGATTTATGTATGTACCTACCTACAACATATATAGCGCCAACAGTCAATTTAAACCCTCCAAGACGAACGTTGTACGTCCCAAGAGAGTATCATACATCAAATAGATTGTAATTAATTGGTCGCGACCCTGTACAATTAAACACTGTGCGCCGCCCAAGACACATTCGCGTGGAACGAAGGCTATGTACTTTATATGGCATATAACCGCGTCCTTTTAAAAATGCGTCTGATACCATTTATTGTTATCATGTAATAATTGCCAGCCGACATTCTCAAATTTAAACTTAGAATGTAGTTAAGTTGATCAACAGGATCTAGTTAATGGAGTGAAATTACATAATTCTACTCTAATTCAGTGTGTAAGTGAATCTTTGGTTATATTTTAATTAAAAAATTTCACTGGTTAATTATTGCACTTATTATTATGAATCATTATTGATGTGCTGAACATTTTAAAGTAAGTATATAAATAGGTAACTGAATCCTTTTAGTTACCTGAATGTATGCGTGTAGTCGATGAGCATGTATTTTTATTAATAAGCAGTATTTGGTAAATAACATACAAAAATACTTAACCAGCGTCCAGCCAACCAACCATATAGTACGTGGACTCGAAGATACGTAAACTGTACAAACCTTTATAATCTGCAAAAGTATGGCGAGGGTGCAGGAAAATCCAAAAAATCCCACTAGCGTTTCCCATTGTATTAATATTATACATTATGAATGTACGCGGGATTTTATGTATAATCTCATCTCGCTAAGGGTCATTTAAAAACGAATGGGGTGAAATATGTATTTTCAGCCCAATTAGGAAGACCCATAGTCCTTTGTTCCAGAGTTATAATGTATTTATAGGACGACCTGCTCTCGGTCCCGATGTTCGCTGTTAAGCCGGTGAACTGTAAACGTCCGTACATACTTTAAATAAACGGTTAATTACACATTCAAGGCACTGCACCTTCGGCGCGTTTATGTTTTTACATATTTTTATTTCAATTATTTCCGTAGAATTTTCTATAGCAGAACTTAAATTAGTGCTCGATTCCTGTGGTTTGATGCGTGTGTGTTAACTGGTGACTGGTGAGCTTTCGTCATTTAAAAGGATATTCCCGTGAACTCTCCGTCCATGTATATATTTTTCTTTTTCGACAAAGACCTTTATTATAAGGAACACTCTAATGCCCGCCCCCTCACTTCCTCGCCAATATATACGGGTTTTCATTTGCCAATAAATCGTCTATATTCGGTTGAGCGTAAAATGTCATCCACCACTGCCGCCGTCCGGTCGGTGATCTCAGTCCGCTTGCTGCCGCCTCCTCTTAAGTCTTAC